TGAAGGTCCCCCTAACAATGTTATCTCAGGAGATTCATCGAAACCAAGTTTCTCTTCGTATCTACTTGAAATTACTTGAAAATGTTGTTTCGTTTGATTATGCACATCGCTTGGTAACAATTGACGTCTAATAAGAACTTTATCAATACCTTTATATCATAAATAACTTCCAATTTCTTTTGATGGTATTCTTCTTTTGGGCTAACTACTGTCCAATATGGAACTGAAGTCTGCGCAAACACTAATTTCAAGGCACTGAGAGTATCTAGGCCTTGATTCGCCGTTTCTTTATATGAATTTAAGTAGGAGAATTGATAAATCTTATTTTTTCAACATTAGCCTATTTTTTGTTTAATTTGTATTAATTTGGCTCATTCGCTACTTTATAAAATTCTTCATCTATATTCAGGATCAAGAGGCTAGAGCTCATCTTTCAAAGGCCATTGAACAGGAAAAGTCAGCAATACTTTCAGATTGGCTGTCGCGAGTCCAACAGAGCCTCTTCCGTTTGCCATTACCTGTCACTCTCGTCGGCCCGAGTCAACTGACAGATGCTTTGTCAGCCGGACTGGCCGTACTTCAAACACTAGGCGCCGCAAACTCAGACGGTGTATCTGCTTCTTCTATTTCTGCCGGTTCTTCTGCTGCCATTGCTCTGACAACTGAGCGTGATGGTGTCGAGACTGGAGGACAATTTGAGAGTCGGTCAAGGCAGGAAAAACGAACGCGACTCTTAAAGCACTCTTCCCTTGTAGAACATGCAGCTAAAATGCCGACGCTCAGAGATGTCGCAGAAGCAGCTATGCTTGAAGTGCGTTGGTTCACATGTTCGCCCTAAGAAAAGTGTTATTTCTTATTTTCCAACATTTCAAAATACGATATATTTCGTAAATAAGCAGAGTTTCAAGATCATATATTTATCATCTGCTTTATAAATTGCATACATTCATATTATTTTATTCTAATTACATTTGGGCACGGACTCAATTGAAATTGTTCCACCACAGGAACTGTCAATTACTATTCCGTTTTTTATTTCAGTAACTGCATTTAAATTCATATTTAACGCTATCAAATGAATGTGAGTTATCTCGCCACAGAAACTTAGATTTACCCGATTTGCCTTGCCTGTTAGACAATAGAGGGCGCTTAAATATTTCGATATGAATCCTCAAGCCCATATTGCCTTAGCAATTCTACTTCAACACTTTCGATTGCCTTCATAGTAGGTATCCCTTACACATTTAAGCTTTACCCTGCATTGTAGGATAATATTGTTATGATTAATGCTCATTATCAATATCCTTAAATCTCTTTGTTACAGTTTCACCACTGCAGATATCTCATTCTTTATTACTATTATGAATATCAGTTTTAATATACCATTTCCTATGATCGTAATTAGTGTTTCCCACATCCATCTTTTTCGCATAAAAAGTCTTGTGGAGTAAGCGTGTATATATGACACTCCACATTTTCAGAAAAAGTATCATTTTAAACTTTTTTCCCCTTATTTTAGTGCCTAGTTGATATGCTAGTAGATGCCCTAAAAGGAGGAAATTCTTGGTCGACAATGATTACTAGCTTATCAAGCGCGGAGTTAGATGTGGCGTTTGACCAACTCGCAGGGACTGGCTTGGCAGAGGGCGAAGGAGTGGGAGGTGGAATTGTGCCGTCAGACAAGAACACTGCTCCTGGCTCCACAGAGGTATCATTTTCGTCGGTTGAATCTGCAAATGCTGCTAAAGGTGCCGAGTATAAGGGGACCAGAAAAAATTCGGCTTCGATAGGAAAAAATGTTACTAGATCACCTGGTGAGCGCTTCGCGATCCTGATTGCTCAGCTGATGCAGCTTTATCAGGCAAGCTTTTTTTTAATGATCAAAGAACCCTCCACACTTT